CACCCAGACACCCTGGTTATGCTATTCTTAAAGATCCCAACTTACGTACCTCTCTTTTCATATAATACTTTAATTATCCCCCTCTATTCCACTAAATAACCATTTTGGAGTGGGGCCTTCGTTTGCCTTCATCTTTCATTCAAACTTCAGAACTGTGCTTCCACACTCCGCGCCCCCCTCCAACTGTTTGCTTCTCGGGGGCTCTGATTCTGAGTAAAAGTCCACGTTCTTCCTGTGGTCTGTATAGTTCATTCGTTCAGTAAATACTTACTGAGTGCCTGTTATGTGTCAAGCATATTTTAGATACTGAAGCTACAGCAACCAGCAAAACAAAAATTCTTGCCCCCTTTACATCCATCTTTCCAGAGAGAAGAATCCTAATTCTCAGCCTATCTTCTCCCCCATCCCTTCTCGTTTATGTTTATTTTCTCTAGGCCTCTTCAATTCCAGTGTCTCTTGAGGAGTGAAAAGCAGCAGCAGGTCTCCCAGTCTTCCTTTGAGATTTAATGGGTGACTCAGAGGTCCTCTGTCTGTGTCCGCTGTGGCTTATCTGGGACTCTGATCTTTTTCAATGAAGAGGGATCACTGATTGAGAGGAAATGGGAGAATGTGGGGGGTGGAATGACAAACATACTGAGTAAAAATTCTATTCTGAAAAGGAATGCATTATTGTGAAAGAGACAAAGCATTTGGATATGTTGGCAATGTTTCTGGCTGCACTCAACTAGGGGCCCCTTTCCCCTCCACACTTAAGCGACTGTCAGTGATCAGACAGAATTGATTCCCAAAACAGAACTCCAAAAAGGTGGTTCAAAGCTTTCTCAGGAACCCCTAATGTAGTCCACCCTTCCATACAAATCTAAATTCCAGGGGATACTTTGTGTTACTTGCTTGTCAAGTTTCTATTTTTAAATATGCAAAATGTTCAGAAGAACTTTTTCAGAATCACTTTTTTCTAACAAAAATACATGCTCATTGTAAAAAAATAATTCAAATAATATTTATAGAGTAAGAAAAAATGAAAAATCCAGTAGAGATACCCACTGTTAATATTTTGGTGTCTCTCCTTCTCAATGCACACATATCTGTATGGACACAAATGGACCCAATTTTGGTATGGACCAGAATTGGCTAGTATAATGCTGTTCTGGAACCCTTTTGTCTTACTTAGCTATATCAGTAGGTTTAGCTATACATCATCATTTTTTTTAGATTTTATTTATTTACTTGAGAGAGAGCAAGTGTGAGAGAGAGAGCACAAGCAGAGGAGCGGGGAGGGAGAAACAGACTCCCCGCTGAGCAGGGAGCCCGACATGGGGCTCGATCCCAGGATGCCGGGACCATGACCTGAACCAAAGGCAGACACTTAACCAACTGAGCCACCCAGGCGCCCCGATACATCATCATTTGTAATGACCATATAGCATTCCTTTGGTAGATATGTCCTGATTTGTTTTACCAAGTGCCTCTTTTTTAAGGATATAAACACCTAGAATATACATCTTTTGTACATTTGTCTGCTCACTTGTCTACTTAATATTTTTTTTTTTTAGATTTTATTTTATTTGAGAGAGAAAGAGCTCACACACGGGTGGGGGGGGCAGGGGCAGAGGGAAAGGGAGAGAATCTCAAGCAGACTCCACACTGAGCGCGGAGCCCAACGCAGACCTCAATCATGACCTGAGCCAAAACCAAGTCGGACGCTCAACCGATTGAGCCACCCAGGGAACCCTCTACTTACTTCTTTAAGTTGTCTTTTTAGAAAGGGAATTGCTGCTAAGCCTCACTTTCTTATATTTACCTCCAGAACCTTCTTTTCAGTCCTTTTTTATGTGAGGGTCAAATGAACAAAGGCTTCATGTCATTTCATTGATCAATTCTAAAGTGTGTTTTTAGCCGCAGAGCATGCGGTATGTGCCATCATTTGAGAAAGAGAATGAAGACATAGATTTCTACAGAAGCATGCTCAGAAAGTCTCTGCTGCTTTTAAAGTGAATGTGTATTAGTTGAAATATTAAAAAATAATTTTATAATTAAAAAAATGAAGACTGTAAATATTAATGAAGTGCAAGGGCGATTGAGACAGGACTCTGTTGCCAGGGAAACTCGCAGGCAGAGGCCTGGCTGTTTCAGTGGCTCCCTGCCTCCCGCCTCCCTTAGGGGCTGAGACAGGTCTGAGGCATAGAAATGTTGCAAACGCCCTGCTGAGTTGGTATCTTCTCTTTGAAAAAAATGAATTCATTTAGAGAAATATTTGCACTGGTTTATATACAATGAAAATATTCACACAGATCCATGTTTGTAAGAAAAACGTTTTCAACAGCATATCCATTTGCATTTCAACAGAAAATGTTCCCTTTGCATTTTATAAAAATAGCCATGAATTTTTTAACAAACAAAGACTCATTCATGAGGATTCTTTTCATTTCTCCAGTTGAAAAATTTTCAGAACCCTGTCATCATCTTGTGGATTCCTTGAGTTAATTCAGCTAGATGTCCTTGTTTCCTCTCAAGACTTTTCTTAAATATTTCTTCTCCATATCTAGTCTTATCTTGAGCCTGTCACTTTTTAAAAATATAATTAAAAAAATATTTTATTATTTTGGAGAGAGGGAGAGCGTGTGCATGCCAGGGGTGGGAAGGAGCAGAGGGGGAGGGAGAAGGAGGGGGAAAGATTCTCAGGCAGACTCCATGCTGAGTGGAGCCTGGCACTGGGGATCCCATGACACCAAGACCATGACCCGAGCGGAAAACCGAGGCTCAACCGACTGAACCACCCAGGCACCCTGAGCCCGTGACTTTTAAATGCCAGTGTTTGTCATCTTGTCACTTTAATCCTTGGCAGTCTGTGGTAACTTCTTCTGTACTTTAAAGTTGTTAATGCAGGGGCACCTGGGTGGCTCAGTTGTTAAGCGTCTGCCTTCGGCTCAGGTCATGATCCCAGCGTCCTGGGATCGAGCCCCGCGTTGGGCTCCTTGCTCAGCGGGAAGCCTGCTTCTCCCTCTCCCACTCCCCCTGCTTGTGTTCCCTCTCTCGCTATGTCTCTCTCTGTCAAATAAATAAGTAAATAAATAAAATCTTAAAAAAAAAATAAAGTTGTTAATGCATTCTTACAAAGGTGCTCAGATCAGTGACTTGGTGTATACATGCATACGTCTATGAAACTTACATTTATATTGATATTGTTGTGAAAGTTAAAGAAAGGGACCTATTAGCTTCACCTTTTCCTAAACTTTGAAAAGAACCAAAATCTGCCCTTCACCTTTAATGTTTGGAAGATCAGAGTTCCTGTTATTAAGCCATCCTTTTTCTTGCTAGCCATAGAGAAGAAATAATCAGAAAGGAAATCATTGAATAAAGATAAAACAATTTTTATCAAATATATCTGTAACATGAACTATTGATTAGTCAAAAACTGGTTGAGACTTGCAAAATGATTAATCGCAATCATTTTGAGCTTTAATATCTGTTGATTATGTTTACAGCAGAGGCAGGCTTATTCCTTAGGTAGTTTTGACTAGTTTTTCATGCTATTTTTGCTTGAATAGTTTAGTGGGGACAGGTGACCTGCAAGAGAAAGGAACGTGACTAGTGGAAACATTAGCCTGTCTTTGCCAATGGCTGAGCTCTGGGAGGGCAGAAGGGCTCAGAGCATTGGGCCAGGACCCATCCTCGTGGATTCAGGCACATTCCCTTGACTCCCTTGGAGGAGGAGCAACATGAGCTCGTGTGGTTCACTCAAAGCTTCTGCCTTCCCCATAAAAGGGCTCGCCCTGCAGCTCTGGGCTGGTGAAGGAGAACTTGCAAGGCTGCCCTCCCCTCTGGATACCAAGCCCACCAATGGCAATTCTTTCCAAGCAAAGGTTTTTCAGGATAATTAAATATTTGACAGTGCAAAAAAGGAATTTCCTGAGTGAACTGAATCAAGGGTTGGTGGTAGTAAAATTCCCTCCAGCTTTCTGTGAAAGCAATAGAAGATGCCATGCCATCTACTCTCTGAGGCCTCCACCTTCCCCATCCCATCCAGAAATGTCTATGCTGGAAAAGTCTGTTTTCCAACCCTTGGGCTGGGACAGTTACAAGAAGAAGAGCCTTCTGCGCCAGGAAGCCCTTTGCTACGCTCGGCTTCATTCTGTGCCATTCACACTGCTCCCAGGAAGGCTTGTTTCCCACCTGGCATCTTCACTTCTTCCTTTGCTGTGTTCTGGGATGTAGGTTTCTTTCTTTCTTTCTTTCTTTCTTTCTTTCTTTCTTTCTTTCTTTCTTTCTTTCTTTCTTTCTTTCTTTCTTTCTTTCTTTCTTTCTTTCTTTCTTTCTTTCTTTCTTTCTTTCTTTCTTTCTTTCTTTCTTTCTTTCTTTCTTTCTTTCTTTCTTTCTTTCTTTCTTTCTTTCTTTCTTTCTTTCTTTCTTTCTTTCTTTTAAAGATTTTTATTTATTTATTTGAGGGAGAATGAGATAGGGAGCATGAGTGGGGGGAGGGTCAGAGGGAGAAGCAGACTCCCTGCGGAGCAGGGAGCCCGATGCGGGACTCGATCCAGGGACTCCAGGATCATGACCTGAGCCGAAGGCAGTCACTTAACCAACTGAGCCACCCAGGCACCCGGGATGTAGGTTTCATATGTAGCCTAGGAAGGGACAGAAAGGCCCAGTTGCAGGGTGATTATTATTATTATCATCAACTCTCCTTTGATGAGGTTGTACCCATCTTCACGTTCTCACCTGCCCTCCTGCCGGGGCCACAGTAATCCTAGGAACTCTGCTCTCGGCTACGCTGACTCCCATGCTTACCGATCCTACCTATTCCCTTCATATAGTAACTGGAGGCAGACTTTCAAATGGAGAAACCAGGGACAAAGAGAGTCCCCAGGAGCCCAGGTTGGAATCAGGAGCCCAGGAACCTGACTCTCGACTGCTCTGACGGGGCTCTTTTCTCCATTGTTGGGGAGTTTGAACCTGAAACATGCTCATTCTAAAAGACAATCCCAACCTCCTCTCGGCTCCTAGCTGTGCCTCTTAGGAAGGCTTGGAACAGCTGCTTCTAACCTGCTCTCAGCGCGAGAACTGAGGATTCGAAGCCAGCAACTCACTAGGGCGATGGTGGAGTTGGAGGGTTGGGTGCGGCAGAAGCGTTTGAGTAAAGCCTCTCGTATCTGCAGGAGACGTAACGCCCTGGTTATGCCAGCCCAAGTCCTGGCCTGGGCACCGCAAGTCAGACGGGTTAGGTGGGCAGACTCACCTTCTTGTCTGTGAGGCAACCAAACAGTAAGATGAAGACACCCTAAAAGAGAGATATGGGGATAAGTTAGTCAAGGAGGAAGGAATCAACCAAAGTCAACTCTTTTCCCTCTCCTTTTCCTTTAGCCTCTGTCTTCCTGTCTAATTCATGTCCCGAGGCTTCCCATCTAGAGTTTTCTGCATATTCGCATCATTTGGTGCATAGAATCAGTTTCAGGTACTTCTCTCACTGCTTTGGTTACAAAGGATAGATCTCAAAGTTTTGAGTACTGACAATTCCCTGACTTCTCTGGCAAAACCAGATACTATTTTACGGATAAGAAAACCAAAGCTCACAGAGGTTTGTCCAAAGTTCTCCAGCTAGTCAGCGGAGGAAATGGGATCCAAACCTAAGTCTTCTAAAATTCCTGAGACTATTTCTTCTGCCTCACCATGATACCTCCTTGAGAAGGGACTGGCAGTCACTTAGACCATCTAAAAGGGCAAAAACACAGCCACCACACTGTCACCCACCTGGGTGGTGTTGAGAATCGTGAAGATGTAGTGAGGAACTATGGAGACTTCCTCCAGCAGGGTGGCCAGGCCCAGCCCCCAGGTGAGGCCGAAGACGGGGTGAGAACGAGCAGGGCTTTGGTCACCCCCAGAAGGGCATGGCGCTTCTCCACCTGGGGCCCCTCTGACAGCGAAGGTCTCAGGAGCTTCAGCACAGCCATGGCTAGTACCAGCCCGTTCATGCCCACAATAGCCAGCACTGGCCCGACGAAGGTGTAGCGTGCCCCTCCCTTCCCATTCAACCAGCATGCCCCCTCCCCCAGGTATTGCCCTTGGGGTAGGTAGAGGCCCAGGGCAGCACCTGCAAACCCCATTGGGCACATATAGCCAAGGACCACCATCAGGGAGAATACTCGGCACTTGGACAGCTGACTGAAGACGAAGAGCAGCTGGTGGGCCAACATCAGGGCCTGAGCCAGCATCCAGAAAAAGGTGGCCAAGTAGAGGAAGTGACAGAGGAAGGCAGCAGCCAGGCAGAGTGGGCTTTGGCGTCCCGGAGGAAGCAGTGGGGCTCCCAGGAAGCAGGTGTCCGCAGCCAAAAGGCAGAGCACCACGTTGAGCAGGACCATGTGGCGTAAGTAGGCAACTTTGTTCTGTACCACGGCTCTCCACACCAGCCTGTACATGCCCAGGCACACAAGCGGTGCCAGGATGGAGGCCCCCAAGCCCACCTGACTCAGCAGCCCCAGGGTGGGGTTTTCTGGAAGAGTATTTCGGGACATGAGGATGGAGAAGGCAGTGAGGTGCTGACAGATACACTGAGCGGTGGGGCTGGCGTGAGCGGTTTGCACTTGGCACCCTTCATCTGACCAACCCCCCTTGCCCTGGAAGAGATCATGGTCCCAGAAGACACAGTGGGGAGTGCTAGCTGTGTCCCCGAAGTCCATGATGACCTCTCCCTGGTTGAAGGCCTGGCCACCTGCCCTGATGGAGATGGAGAGGACCAGCCCAGGAGTGGCATAGAAGGAGTCCCCCAGCCCTTGGCCATAGTCTGAGGGCAGAAGATGGTCCAGTTTCCGCAGTAGCATGCTAGTAACACTGATGTTTGTTCCATTATGGCCCAGTGGGGCCAGTGAGCGCCTAGGAATGCATGCCCGCAATGGGGCCTGAGTGGAGAAGGAGGCTCTGTAGTCAGCAGGAAACGCAGGTCCAAGGAGCTGGGTCTGTAGCTGCACGTTACGTAAGCTGAAGGAGAAGGGGTGATCCTGTGGGCACAGGCTGCGTGCCAGGGTCTCCACAGCCAGCAGGAAATCTGAGCCCGCTGAGGGCTTCTGGGCCTGGGCTGGGGCCCACAGAGAGCCGGTGTCCATGTCTAGGACCTTGTCTGTGGTTTTCAGGAGAGCCTGTGACGCCCAACAGAGAGATCCCAAAAGAGAGATGAGCCCTGGCCGCTAGAGCCCATAGCACTGGGCTAGGGGCACAGGGAACTCTAGGCCCCAAAGCCACCTTTCCTAGTCCAGCAGAAGACCCATGGGTGGAGAGAAAGGGGGAGAGGAAGACAGACCTGTGAAGGAAGAGTTTCTTTTTTTTAAAGATTTTATTTATTTATTTGAGAGAGAGAATGAGATAGAGCAAGCACATGAGAGGGAGGAGGGTCAGAGGGAGAAGCAGACTCCCCGCCGAGCAGGGAGCCCGATGCGGGACTCGATCCCGGGACTCCAGGATCATGACCTGAACCGAAAGCAGTCGCCCAACCCACTGAGCCACCCCGGCGCCCCAGGAAGAGTTTCTATATGGGAAGAATGGGGAGCTATTCAGCTCACCACTGGGGTGACTTCAAGTATGTGGTCTCCTGATGCAACCCAGCCTCTCCATCTGACAGTCTTTCTCTCCCCTCCATCCCTCGGGCCACCCAGGCCCTAAGGGGCCCCTTTCCAATTCCTTGACCCCTACAGGTCTGTAAAGCTAAGAATGGTACCCAGTGGTAGAGGGCATGATGTTCTGAAGTAGAAGGGCACATGCACGTCCATCCACCCACATGTGATATACATTCCCAGATAGGAAGTGTGTTGTGTCGTTGCCCCTGATTATCCTTTTGGATGCCTCTTATTGGTCACCAACTGTTGCCCATATTGAGAGCCGGTTTAGGTGAGTCCAGCCAAGCCAAGAGTGGTTGAGTATCTCCATGTAGGTATCGTGTGTGTGTGTTTCAGGGGGTGGCGTGGGGGGGGTGCTTCACATCATATGCGCGCATCTGCATGTGCATGAATGCCTCTGAACTCAACGTCTTCACACCCCTTCCTGCCTTTCCTGACCTCCCATGTGTTATCAGCATCAGACCTTCTCCACATTTCATGGCCTTGAGACTGGTGTCCAAGAGGAGAGACGGACCAGGGAAGCAGACACTCAGACTCTAGAAAGGTCTGCTGGCTGACAGCCCATGATGATGTCAGGGGGACAGAAGTGCCCAGAGGTAAAGAGCTTCAGGCCCCTACTACCCAGCTGGCCCCTGCCGTGGCTCAGAGAGCTCACCTCCAGGGCCCTGCGGGTAAGCTGTATTCTAGCATCCACCACCACCTTGGCCAGGAATGATATGGTGCCCAGCCTTGCCAATAAGTCAGAGGGCGAGCTCACTGCCATCACGTGCTCCGACAGCTATGCCAGGATCTGTGGCACCTCCCCAGCAGGCCAGCCCTGGCCTGCCCGTAGCAGCTGAGACACAAGACAGCAGGAATTGGGGACTGGGGTGGGCAAGTCCTCACGAGGGAGGGGCCATTCCTCCTCCATCCAGCTCTTTCCTCCCCATCCCCGCACCAGTCCCAAAGGGACAGGAAGCAAAGATCCAGTGAGCCACATGGAAGGAACTGACACCCATGTTAATGGAACAGACATTTGGTGGGATTAAGTTTGGAGAATAGCACACTCCCCACAATGAGAATGCTGGGCACTCTCCGGCCCCCGCCTCACTCCCTGGCTCTGCTGGGCTCCAGTTCAGAGAAGGTGAGTGACCTTCAGGCCGGGCCTCAGAGGGAAAGGCTTCTGAAGCTAGGTCCCGAGTGAGAAAGGGGTAGGTCATGGAGGGTGAGGCCTGTGGGCAGCAGGGCCTGAAGCTTTACCCGGGCTCTGTGATGCAAGGCCAGGAGCTCTGGGTCTGAGCAGCTGCTGTGAATGGGCTCCCACGTCCCATCAGGCCCACAGGTCCGCTTCACTGTGCCTGTCCTGTTCACCGGACATGGGGGCTGTGCCACGTGGCCAGCCTTGGTGACTTTCCAGGCAACAGCTGAGGAGTCCTCAGGGCAGGCGGTGTCTCCATCTGAAGAATGATATCAGCGAGGCTCGGCAACCACAGTCCAGCCCCAGCCTTTCTGGGGCAGAAACCTGTTCAGGCTCTGGAGACGGGCTGTGCGGCCCAGTGCAGGGAAACGTCAAGGAGCACGCAGGGCAAGCAGTAAGAGGTCAACCGGCTGGACCCCAAGTCCCACGTACCCTGGATGACGGTGACAGAGATGGGGACCCTGAGAGGGGTCAGTCCTGGGCTCTGCAGCTCACAAGTGTACGTGGCGTCAGCCACAGGGCAGTTGTGAACGGCCAGCACAAAGCGCCGGGAGCCTGGCTTGTTGACTAAGGAGGCTGAAGATAACACGAGAGAGGGAACAGTTACTGGGCCTGGAATAGACCTAGAACCCAGCAGGCCCAGAGATGTCCTTTCAGTCTTTCTAGCAACTTCAGAAGCAGATGACGCAGTGCGGAAGAACTGAGCGGTACGAGAGCATCAAACTATGAAGGCAGAGCTTGGATTTTGGGGAGGGACACCTGGGGGTCTCTAACTAGCCCCAGGACTTGAAGCCGGGTTCCTCATTTGTGGAATGGGGACTATCACCAAAAGAGCTTCACAGAGTATATTGCAAGAGTTCATTAAGATTGTGTGAAAACATTCTGCAAACATATCTACATTCAGGGCGCCTGGGTGGCTCAGTTGGTTAAGCGACTGCCTTCGGCTCAGGTCATGATCCTGGAGTCCCGGGATCGAGTCCCGCGTTGGGCTCCCTGCTCGGCAGGGAGTCTGCTTCTCCCTCTGACCCTCCTCCCTCTCATGCTCTCTGTCTCTCATTCTCTCTGTCTCAAATAAATAAATAAAATCTTAAAAAAAAAAACATATCTACATTCATGTGGTTTTTGCTGTATCAATACAATTAGGATTGCTTGTGGGGTAAAAACAGGGTTGGACTTGGACCCGGAACTCCCAGGTTGAACTGCAGCCTCTGCTTCCTGCGAGCTGGAGAGCCAGCGGCCTGGAGACCAGCTGCCGCCTGTCCCCCGGCCCCGACAGCCCCTCCGTACCTTTGCTGCCCTCCCTGGGACTCCAGGAAGCTGCGTAGGCCAGGTGCGTGCTGGGGATGCAGCAGGTCAGCTGGAAGCCAGGGCAGGTGGCACAGGAAATGGAGAGCTGGTCTGGAAGCCGAGCCACATCGGTTGCCTGCAGGGGCACCTTCACCACCTGGGACAGCTCCCATCTGAATCCCTGAGCCTCGAAGCAGCACGTGTACTCACCTGCAGATACACACCTGCTGCACCTCCCAGCTCCTCCGGCCCCCACCCGTGCCACAGAAGCTCTGCTGCCTCTAAAGCCACACCTGAGGTCTGCCTTCCCGGCCCGGCCTCTCCTTAAGCCCAGCAACAAAGATCCCCGCCCCCGAAAGGATTTCTAGGAGGAAGAGGCCTGGAGGAGAGGCTCCTGACATTTTCTTTAATAGCCTGGAGCCATGGATTCCAAGTGAACCTCTTTCCTGCGAGGGGATGCCCTTCCCGAACCACCTGATGGCCACTGGAACATCTTGAAGTAAACACAATGTCTGTTCTCTGCCGAAATTGACACCCCACCTTCAGCATTCTCCTGTTAAAATTGTTCACATTAGTGGGCTCCTTAGCCTTTGTTTCCCCAGAATGAATAAATGGAAAGATGCAAAAGGAAAGGAAGGGGAGAGAAAAGCAGGAAGGAGAAGAGAGGGAGGAGGAGGAAGGTGAGGGAAGCAGGGGAAGAGAAGGACAAAGAGAAGGGCAAGGCAGAGGAGAAGAGAGATGAAAGGAAGGGCAGGCTGGCTACCTGCCCATCTATGGGAGGCGTTGAGGATGCTGAGGACAGCCTGGCCCGGGCTAGAGGCCAGGGACACATGTGTCCCTGGCTGCAGGAGGATGGGTGTGGGACTGCCCGCGTGCCGCAGGAACCAGTTCAGGTTGGTGGTCTCACGGCTCTTGACAAGGGTCAGGTTCAGAGTGGCGCCAGGTGTCCGCACCGAGGAGGTCAGGCTCAGCCGTCCGGGGACTGCAGGGAGGCAGAAGGCAGGCACCCCCTGGAGCAGGAATTGTGGCCTCTGCGGTTAAGCCGACTCCTTCCCCATCTTCGGAAGCCCGTTCCTCGTCACTCCCTCCCCACTGCCCGCAGTACTGTTTTGTTTTGTTTTGTCCCTGGACGAGAGTGGCTGCTGCGGTCCAGATGAGGACCCTTCATTGGGAACCAATCGGGGAAGTCTTGTGGCCCACGATTTCCCCTCCCCTAGGGGACCTGGGGCTGCTGGAGCCCCTTCCTGGCCCTCTAGGGTCAACAGCTGTCACTCTAGCCCTTACTCTCCTTGTCCATGTGTCTCAGGAGCCCTGTTGTTCATTAGTCTCACTACTCAGTCCCAAGCTTGAGGCTGTGACCCGCCAGGATAACCGGCGATTCTCCCACCCAGCGGAGCTCCTGGGCTTGGGCCAGCTGGCCGAAATACAGGGGTTAGAGAGGAGAAAACACAGGCTTTCTTTCCCAGGGGCCCACTGGTTTCCAAGTTCCCAAATCTCCTCACCAGGTGGCAGCAACTGGCAGGAGCCGGCTTCAGCGGCGCCGAGGACCAGACAGCCACAGGGCCTGTGGCTGTGGGCGGGCTCGCAGGGAGGGTGCCGGGAGCAGACGCTGGTGTTCCACTGGTACCCAGACAGGCAAGCACAATAGGTCTGCCCATCGCTGTGGAGGTTACACTCTGCGGCAGAGGGCGGGGACAAGACGTGCGCAGGCCGTATGAGAGAGCCAGTCCTCCGACGCCTGAGCCACTCTAGGGCTGGGACCATCCCAAAGTCACAACAGCCTCAGCCATCCGGGACCGCCTCCTCACTCAGGGTTCAAAGCAGCAGAGGTCCTGCTGGGCAAAGTCATCAGAGGTCCTGCTGGGCAAAGTCATCAGGGGTGGGGTCGGGGGTCAGAGAACTCCCAGCCCACCACCGGCTGCCTCTTGGGCCTCTGCCAAAGTTTAGAAGTTGGGGACATGGAACAGGAAGGGAAGGGTCTGTCTGGTGGGGAGGTGAGGAAGGAGCTGGGCCATGGAGACCCTCCAGGAAATGGGAGGGGTCGGCAGCGGTCTAAGCGAGCTGGCTGTGGGAGACCTGGGAAGCCTGTGCCCCCTTCTCTCTGAGCTCCCCATCCCCCACAAGTGGTGGAAGGCCCACTGAGAGGCAGGGCTCCATAGAATCCGCCCTACCTGTTGTGAGGCTGAGGCCAGTGAGAGTTCTTGGGAAAGAGGAAGCCGAGGCAAGGGGGTGAGTCAGGGTCCTGGAGAGTGCCAGTGGCCAGGTCTGATTTGGCAAGTCCAGCTGTACAAAGACCGAGGCCAGGACTGATTCTACAGGAGCAGAGGGGGCAGCTGTAGAGGAGAGGTGGCAAGGCCATGGGCTGGTCCCCTTCTGCCTCCCACATCTGGCTGGTCACTGGACCCCGGGCAGATCCCACTTCCCATAGCCCAGCTAGGAGCTGACAAGACTGGAGAGGGCCATAACCCCTCACTAGCTACGTTGCATTCACATACAGCTCCATGTCACCATCCCCTCATTTTATAGATGAGGCTCTCCAAGATGAATGATTTTCTCCAGGCCTCACAGCTAGAGAACTGGCCTCTGGACCTGAGTGTCCACTGTGGCCAGCCATGGATCCAGTCTTCCGTGGGTCCTCTTCAGCCTCATTCCCTGCTCCCTGTCTTCCCCCCTTGCCCTCCCACCCCTCCCTCCTTCCTCCTCCTGTCCACTCCATCCACTCACCACCTTCTCCACTCCTCTGGTCCAATTGCTGCCCCAATTTCCCTCCAGCCTGACTCTGTGCCTGGAACAGAGGAGAGACCTCTGAGAGGATGCTGACCCCAGGTTTCTTCCAGGGACACCTTCTTCCCCAGGGGGCTCGGGCTAGCCCGAGTAATTTGGCGTGACTCCATCTCTTTGAAGCTCTTCTTTTTGCCTAGCCAGAATCAAGCAGGCACATCAGGAGAGGAAAGCAGGCTTCTGGTAGGAGGCGCCAGGGATGCAACCCCAAGGACTCTGCCAAGGCCTGCAAATCCCACCTGAACCCAGGAACCAGGCACACCCTGGAGAGTCAACATGCTTTGCTTAATTCCTTCCTGAATTTACCTGTCCCTGGGCCTCTAGGCTAATTGAAATGGCTGTGTCTGGAACACCAGCTGGGAGGGCCGGGCAGAGCTGGCTGGGGCCCAGAGGCTTGGGGAATTCTGTTCTCTCCATAGAAACTGCCACAAGGGCGAGCATAAGGCAGCATCTTCCCTTAGTCTTTGGTTCCTGTAAATTATTTCCTCACCAACTCCCCCCTCTCTCAAAATTGTATGTGAATGTGGGTACTATCTAAAAACAGATACAGATATAGATATGGATACGGATACACACAGCGATACAGATGTCTTCTTGGGAGAAAACAGAGATCAAAAAGTGCTAATCTTGACTTTGCTGTCTTTCTTCAGATTCTCTCCTGTCCTCTATGCTGGAAAATTTTTCTTTTCTTTCCATTTTTAAATTATAAGCTTGACTGGGAGAACCTTTATCCAAAATGTAGCTGGCATCACTGGAGTTCACAGTGACTCGAAGAAACAAAAGCTATCCCACACCCTGGAAAATAAGACGGACCTCTCAGAGATTTTATAACAAACTGGCCTCTCTTTTTTACAGTACTTCCTCTCCCTCCAGCCCTTACGCCTCCACCTGCCCCTTCATCCACACCTTGCTGCCTCTCACGCTGATAGGCCCCTATGTCAGCTCTGTAGACCTTCCCTGGGTACTTGCCGCAGGCTTACTCACAGGTTGAGACGCTTGAGCAACTGGTGACCTCACCAGGGGGAGAGTCATGACCAGGAGCCCCACGGAGGCAGCTGAACAGACCATGGCTCAGCGAAGCAGTCCTCCAGAGTCCTCCAGCTGCTGCATGATGCAAATGTCCTCAGAGAAGAGTTGGCAAGGCTCAGCACAGCTGGGATGGGAGGGAAGAGGGGACGGGAGCCAGCCGAATTTACAGAGGAAGTGCTACAGTCTGTGACCGAGTCACATGGGCACCCAGGTCCCAGTGAGGCCACCTGGAACCCATGTGCCCCAGTGACAGTGGTCTGCGCAGGTTCCCCCTGGGTTCTAAACCAAGAACTCGGTGCACAGGAGAGGGCTTGGGGGTCCTAGGTCACAACCAGCAATATGCCAATAAGCCAGGGACCTGGGAAATCTGGATTGTCCTGAAACTTCTGCGAAGCTGGATCATTGATCTCAGAGCCAAGGTAGAAAGGACAAACATTAGGGCTGATTTCTAGCCTAAAATAATTTCCAGAGTCTTAAATTTAACTAAGGACCCAGAAAAATGCTGGGATAAATTACTAAGTAACTTCACAAAATAGTTTTGAAGGGAGGATGGTTTTTCCAAACAAGACACAAAACCCAGAAAGCCAGAAAGAAAATAAATTAGGCTGTCTAAAAAGTTTTAAATTGGGGATGAAAAGCACATAGGGTAAAAAGGCAAAAGACAACATGTTTGTAGCACGATGATTGAATAAGGGGCCAACCTTAACACAAGAGTTTTTTATCTTACATTAGGAAGATGGAAAATGGGCAAAAAATAGAAAAAGTCAGTTTACTGAAAAATAATTATCAACAGTTTGATAAACATATAAAAAAATCCACTTCGAAAAAAGAAAATAAAACTGAAAAAAAGAAAAAACAGACAAAAATAAGAAAACAAAAAAAGAAAAAATTAAAAAAATGAAATAAGAAAATAACTGTCACCTACTAAATATCAAAAGACATTGATTATATTCAGTGTTGACAAAAGTGTAGTGATACATGTATACAAAAATGTGTGTATAAGGATGTTCAAGGCAGAGTTGTTTGTGACAGCAAACGAGTTAAACAACCAAAATGTCCATTCAAAAGGGACATTTCCGGGTGCCTGGGTGGCTCAGTCGGTTAAGCGACTGCCTTCAGCTCAGGTCATGATCCCAGGGTCCTGGGATCGAATCCCACATCGGGCTCCTTGATCCGCGGGAAGCCTGCTTCTCCCTCTCCCACTCCTCCTGCTTGTGTTCCCTCTCTCTCTCGCTGTGTCTCTCTCTGTCAAATAAATAAAATCTTAAAAAAAAAAAAAGGGACATTTCCAAACAACTGAACATTGTTGTGGAAAAAAAGTGAGGTAACTCTATTTTGGGGTGAGTCCCAATATATATGGTGAAGTGTAGAGTGTATATTATGCTGCCTTTTACCTAAAAAAGGGAATCTATATTCAATATCTGTGCTTTTTATACCTAGGATATTTCTGGAAAAACACATCAAGAACGTTGGCAACTGTTGCATCTGGGGAAGGGGGTTAAGGGTGCAGATGCATCTGTTTGATATATATTTTTTCTAAACATAGGCATGTACTTTCCTAAGTAAGAAAAGAGTGGATTTAAACATGCACACGCGCAGGCGCATAAGCACTCACATGCGCACACAATACCTATGGTAAAATCTAGCCGCAATACATTTCTACTTCCACCACCTCTTCAGCTGTCCCCTTGCTAGGACGGCCGCCGAGGCGCAGCTGACACACAGGAATGACATGCATGGGAACAAAGACTTTGTTAATCGATTTGAGGGTGTTATGCACAAACAATGAATCATGGAACACTTCATCTAGAACTAATGATGTAATGTATGGGGATTAACATAAGAATAAAAAAAATAATCGATTTGAGAATGGTGAAGAGTCAGGTTTGAGAACGTGAAGGGGGTTGCCATCAGCATTATGGGAACTGCCCACTGCGGCCGCAGATGGTCTCAGAGGGTCCAGGGGGATATGGGCCACCACCAGCATCTGCCACAGTCACCAGCGTGCATCGGTCCAAGCCTAAGGTTGTCCTGGATGGTGCTCGACAGGGTCTGCCAAGGAGCAAGGACGACAGAAGAGAGAGGTGGAACTGTTTCTGTAATTTGAGAGAAGTTTCAAACATTTTTGCCTGTACAAAAAAAACACTGAGAAAAGATCGGAAGGAAATGCTACAGGCTCTAGGAAGTGTCCGTTGACTTTACCTCAGGATTCCTCAGGGCTTCACACCGTGCACCAGGGGCCTTAAGTGATATTTGTTCTAAATGAGTCAATGGAAAAATGACACACACCAAGGGGCGCCTGGGTGGCTCAGTTGGTTAAGCATCTGATGCTTGATCTCAGCTCAGCTCTTGATCTCAGGGTTGTGAGTTTGGGCCAGCGTGGGGCTCCACGACCAGTGCGGAGCCTACTTAAAAAAAGAAAAAAGAAGCACATCAAGACATTAACAGTGGTTGTAACTAAATGGTAGGTTTTGGCATGTTTTTCTATGTTCTGTTTTTCAATTTTATATTCCATAATGGAAAAAAAGTCCTAACAAAAATACCAGATCTTGGTGTGCCCAGGGGGCTCAGTCGCTTAAGTGACCTATTCTTTTTTTTTTTTTTAAAGATTTTATTTATTTATTCATGAGAGACAGAGAGAGAGAGGCAGAGGGAGAAGCAGGCTCCCAAGGAGCAGGGAGCCCAATGTGGGACTCGATCCCAGCACCCTGGGATCATGACCTGAGCCGAAGGCAGACGCTTAACCATCTGAGCCACCCAGGCGCCCTTAAGTGACCTATTCTTGATTTCATCTTAGTTGTAATCTGGGGAGGGGGGAGGTCCCAGCTCAGTGGGGAGTCTGCTTGAGATTCTCTCTCTCCCTCTCCCTCTGTCCCTTCCCACGCCCCTGTTTGCGTGCACGCACTCTCTCTCTCTCTTAAATGGATAAATAGATCTTTAAAAAAATGATCTTATAGTCTCAACTCCTTCCTTGTAGATCAACAAGGTTCAGAGTCGGTCAGGTTTGCCCAGGTGTCCCAGGTTGCCAGGAAGCACCTGGAGGCTGAATCAGGTCTCTGGCTTAGGGTGGGGTTCAGGCAAACAGGTACTTAATTGCTGCCACCTACCTACTCCCAAGTGGAAGGTCAACCGTAAGGCTATTGGCCTCTGTCCTACATACCTAACAGTATTTGGAAACGAGTAAGTTTCTACCGCTTCTGGCCGTTTCTCTGGGCTCCCAGATTGCACCCTGGGCAAAAGAAATTTCCTTTTCATTCCTTTGTGCTTTGAGCCCTCCAGGCCATTCAGCAGGGTCTTTGATAACAAAGGTTTGTAATCTGGGCTTCTCTTATCTGTATCCAAACAGGTTATTTTAGGAGGTTTTACCTCCGTTACTATGTAAACTACTAATAGATTACTAAAGAATAAATGTAGCTTAGACCTTTATCCCATATGAATCCTAACTGCTTTTCTCTTTCCACCTGACATGGCACGACATTATTGGAAATATTAAATGATAGGTTGTTAGATTGGGAAGGGACCTTAACTGAGATATTGAAGCAGCCAGGTTGAGTCCGAGGATCCAGAGGGGGGGTCCCACAGGCCCAGCCAAGAGGCTCCTCGGCTTTGCACAGGATCGAAGTCAAACGAGAGCGAGAAGGACGTGAAAACAGAGTTCACTGAATAGCGTGAGTGACGGAGAATAGCAGACCT